TGTTAGATGGCAGCTCCCAGAATTCCTCACCAGTGGCTAGGGATGATGGGAGTGGTGGTCCAACAAAATCTGGAGAGCCATACTTTGCTCACCTCTACCATAGGATAAGACAAGGCCAGGGGTCTTATTCTTCCAAAAGTAACCATCATGCTTTCAAGACTCCATAGACCAGCCCCGCATCCTTATCAGTAGGCTTTAGTAAGATCTTTGTATATACTTGATTTATCCTGCAGAATCTCTCTCTCTCTCTCTCTCTCTCTCTCTAATATATTAATAAATACACCTTGCATTTTACAAGAAATGAAAACTTTCTTGCAGCCACCTTAGGACTTGCCATGTCTATTTAAAGCATGCATAGGCTGAATGAAACCCATAGCTCCTGTCATTTACAGACACCTTTTCCTTCCACTGAAATTCTCACTCTCTCACACAGACCTTCTCCAATCTGGCTCCCTTCATGTGTACTGGACTCTAACCCCAACACACGCAACCAATGATGTTGGGGTTTGTATTCTAAGAAATCTGCAGAGTCCCAGGTTGGCAAAGGTTGTGTTGAGACAAACTCTGGGCTGGACCACTAGCAAGAACTTGTTCAGATGTTGCAACTTCCAAACCCAGATGTTAACCATGTTGCTGTCATGTTTTCATCAGTGGATCTCAGACTTATATGCATGTGAGTGAGTGTGGTGTAATGATTTGAACACTGGACTACAATTCTGGAGAACAGGATCTGATTCCTTGCTTATCCACAGAAACCCACTGGGTGACCTTGGACAAGTCACACACTCTCAGCCCCAGAAAACTCTATGATAACTTTGCCTTTGGGTTACCATAATTTGGAAATTACTTAAAGGCACGCAACAACAACAACATATGCTTATGTATATGCATTTGGAGGTTCCTTGGGCAGAGCTGAGGAAGTGGGAAGGTTTTTCAACATCATCCACAAATTATTGATCCATCCAGGACATAGGGAAAGAAGCGTTCCTATTTCTATTTGGACAGCTAGTTCTTTCAGGGAGGGGGAGGTAAAATGAATGCCAGCTTGGTCTAGTAGTCTGAATGTTTTAACTGTTACTCTGGAGATCAGAATTTGATTTCCCTGCTTGACCATGGAAACCCATTGGATGATCTTGGGTGAGGGTCACCATAAGTAGGAAACAACTTTAAGGCACACAACAACAACAAAAACAAAAACAACTAAAGGAAAATACCTGCAGGAGGTAGACCTTCATGGTAGGGAGGGCCTTTAAAGCAGAGAGGGCTTTATCTCAATACTGTTTTGGATGGAAAGGCCATCATACTGGGCCAATTGGCAAGATATTGGTCTGCACTGCCAAATGCATCCATTAAATCTGAGGCATGGGGAGTACCTCTACAGACGACCTTGGACTTAAACTCCCATGAGCCCCACCAACATGGCTGATGGGGATGATGGAGGTGTAGTCCATCCAGCTCCATTGTGACTCTCAGTATTTAACTTGCAGGAGCATCACTGGGGGGGACCAGTTGATCAAAACAGAGGACTTAACAGAGAAGATCCATGAAGGAAAAATATCAATTTAAAATTTCAGGTGAACCTTTAGAACGAGAGTATAGGCATTCAAAGAAAAGGGGCAGGCAAGGTTCTCAAAGAAATGTCAACACAGCAAATAGATACGTTCTCTGGGTGAATAGTTTTCAGTAACTTACTCTGCAATGCTAGAACTTCGAGAGCTGAAGGATAAATTCATGGGGGGAATAATTCTTATTTTGGAAGAAATGCTTTCATTTCCCCTTGCCTCTACATCCCTGTCTCAAGCTCAGAAAATGTATCTGTTGATGAGATCTAGGGCCTAAGCAGACTGCCAGAAATAGTGCACATTAAATTGAGGCACTGCTCTGGCTCAGTGCTAGGGAATCATGGGAACTGTAATTTATTGTGGCACCAGAGCTCTCTGACAGAGAAGGCTCAATGTCCCAGAAAAAAATACAATTCCCATGATTCCCTAGCACTGAGCCAGGGCAGTGCCTCAATTTAATGTGCACTATTTCTGGCAGTCTGCTTAGGCCTCTAGTTAGAATGAACCTGACCTGCTCCCGCACTGGAATTCTCCATGGATTCTTGCCAATGATTGTGAAGTTCTACTCCACACTTTCCTCCTTAATCAGTATATTTAGTTACATTCATTATTTTCCTTTCACACCTATATGTTTCTTGGCCCCTCGGAAGTATTTTCTTTAAATGCCAGTGACAAATGAGGTAGAGGTGGCAAAATGCGTGACTCCAAAACCCATTGGGTGCTATACTGGTGTGTCCCCCCCCCCCTTGCCCCAGTTAAAAATAAACACAAATGTACAAAATTTATAATCTTACAATACATTGCAAAACATGCGTTACATCACAAAACAAAACAAGGCAGGGTTTTTAAAAATCCTAACAGGGTGGCTTTTATATGGGGTGTGTGTTTTAATTATGCTTTTAACTTTTGTATGTTTTTAATGTTAATTTTATGTTGTTTTAACTGGATTATTTTAATTGTTTTTAATTTTTTTTCTTGTAAAGTTTTTGGAGTGTTTTTATCTTGTGAGTTGTCTTGAGTCCCTTTCTAGGGGAAAGGCGCCATGAGAAAACAAACAAACAAACAATCAAAACAAACAAATAAAAACATAATAGCTTTCCTTGACTCCTTTTTTTTTTCTTCCATTAATTTGTCTGATTATCTTTACTTAAAGATTTTCTGCTATCTAGTTTTGGCTCTGTATTATATTTCTTAAAACTGACTGTTTTTTATAAATTCTTTTATCAGTCTTTATATCAATTATTATATCTCATTGCAGACCAATTACAAAGTCTTTGTCCCATTCTATTTTTCAGAAAAATTGAGACCACAGCTGGACCACAAGGTGCGTTCCTCAGCCTGACCAGGAGGTGGCGCTCTAAGCATGGGGGATTCCCATCAGTTTCAGCTGAAACTGAAATTGATCTCAGACAGATATATTCAAAGTGAAGCAGAGCATGTTTTAAGCCTGACAGGCAGCATTTGGGTCGTGTAAACGGTCCAGGCTTGTAACCCAGATTAAAAGAGGCCACATTTTTTTTTCCCAGGGCGGTTTAAAATTGTGATTGTAGGGCGACTAGGGATGAAATAGTAGTTTTATATTCATTTTGGAGTGGAGATGGAGTAAGGAATGGAGAAGAAGGAGGCACTGAATACTAGACTTTCTTTTAAAAGATGCATCTCTGGGCTGCAGCCTTCCTCAGAGAGACCATGGCTGCATCCACACTGCAGAATTCCCAGAATT